CTCCTCAATTTGCCAACATAACACAGGGACACAGACACAGGCATGCACACACACACACACACACACACGTGCATGTGCAAAAGAAGGAAAGGATTTTAACAATTTTTTTCCTGAGACTGAGTTTGCAATATAAATATTCTTCTCTAAAGTCAATATTTATATTTGTATTATATCTTAAACAATTATTATATTACATATGATAAATGTTAGTTGAGAAATCTTATATTCATTTCAAAAATGATAAAAACAAAGTAACCATGATTTGGCTGAAAAGTAAAATTGCTAAAATGAATATTTTAGATTTCAAAATTTGGAACTTTATTCAGTGGCCATGATATACAAAATATTTGGTTTAATATTGCATGTTGCCAGTAAAGTTAAATTCAGGATAAAGAACATATTTTATAATTTAAAAATTGGTATAGAAAATTATTTTACAATATACTTTCTCATTAGTTATATGGTACAGAAAAGCTGTTTTATAAGATGTTCTTAATGACCACCTGATTTCTGTTCCTAAACATTTTTTAAACTCAATTTTATATCCTCAGATATAAAGGGAATGTGCTTTTACAAATGTGCTTTTACAAAACCTTTCCTTTCTTATTTTCATAAAAATGCTTTCTCATATAACTTATAACACATCATTTTTTAATTTTGTGTATTGAATGGCACCAGTGATATTTGTGTTTCAGTTTTAGAGAAAAGGCTGCACATAATTAGAAAGCTGCAAGTTATTTGATTTTAGTCACCCTTATTTATTTTATTTTTTATTCCCCAGAGGGCTGCTCTGGAAGTACTGCAGTACCAGGTCAATGCTTGGAGTGGATGCAGCAAACTCTTGTTCCATCCCCCAGCTCCAAAAATCCACTTAATATACTGTCCTCAGATATTGGACGTACCAGATATTTAACTGATAAGAACAGATGCTACACTTGATCTTAGCCAAAAGGCTGAGAAGCAACTGATTTTAGTCATTTTTAAAAAGTCTTTTTTAATGTCAAAACTTTCTTAAGCAAAGTATACTGATAATCTCATTTCTTTGGACCCCAGAACTTTTTCTCTGATTTTCTTACACAAAGTATGCTAATAAAAATCTCACTGCTTTTGCTATTTCAGAATCGTCTTTGTTTAACCACAGATTTTCCAACCAAATTAAAAATAAAAATGATTTCAGGACATGGGTTATATCGTGTAGAGCTGATTGTCACCTTATTCCAGAAGTGTCTTAGAGTTTTATTCCAGTGTGCTTAAGGATTTTGGCTTTCACTCTTTACTTTGTTAGTAGGCTCTTGGATGACTTTTATTCTTTCTTATATGCATTCATCTGATTTTACTTTTATCATGCTGAGGAAAGTGGGATAATCCTCAGCACATCCTTTGTAATAGAGTTAATCTTGACCAAGTTAGCTTGTGAGCTTGGAGAGGGGATGTCTATGAAGTGCCAATGTGGTGGACAGGAGCACAGTTATACATGATCAGTGGGAAGCATCTGGGTCACAGAGGTAATCTATTGAAAGAACAAACTACATTTGTATTGACTGCCCGAAGGTTTCCTTGTTAGTGAAACTAAATGCTTTCATAAATTGATAATATTTCAAAATATAACTATTGTAATGATATATAATCATGCATGAAACATCAGATGTCTCACAAATTCCTTTCTCACTCAAGGAATAATGTCTGGTGTGTGTGTGTGTGTGTGTGTGTGTGTGTGTGTGTGTGTGTGTGTGTGTGTATTTACCTCAGAAAAAGAAGCATGGGATAGAACCCTGTTTGCAAGAGCTATGAAGTATTATCACAACTACCAAAGACCCCTTTTAAGACCTTAGAATATGTTCAAGGTATTACACTGTGAGTAACAATCAAGTTTCACCCTCAAAGATTTGTGGATCTGTGATGAAGAGTATGAAGTTACTTAACGTACATGTAAATCATCTAACAATAAAAATCTACTCCATCTAGGAAAAGTGTTAAAAACCAATTGTTAACTTATGAAACAAAGCAAAGGAGTATGTCCTCAGGGGTTGCTTGTTTGGATGGAACAACAGACAAAGGAAAATTTCTTTGCTGGTTTCTTTTTGTCATGAATCTTTGTAGCTATTAGCACCTTATGTTTCTGCCTCATCCTAAAGCATGCTTTCTGTTCTATATGTGAAAACCATCCTTGCCAGCACTCTTTTCTAATAAGTTCTGTGATGTCTCTCAATTGTCCTGGCCAGTCAGGAGGATGTTTCTTTATGGCATCCACCACCCTTGGAAGGATGATTCCTGAACAAAAAGAGCTTCTAACCTGTGTTCACCTGCTTCCAGTGTTGGGCCCCTTCTCACTCTAAAATGTCCCTGTCAACCCCTCTTCTTCTACTGTGTTTGCAGAACAGCACCTCTCCCCACTCATTCCTTTTAACAACAACCCTCAAGCAGATGTCAAAGTCTTTTAGCTATCAGCAGTCAGATCTTCTTTATTATTAAAAAGAAATCATTCACACTGGGTACATCTAAGAGACTCTTTTTGGCTGTTCAAGCATTTACTTTTCCATCCTTTCATTGGAGTCCTTGTTTGAGCTCATATACGCTCCTATTCATGCCAGTGGCATTGTTATGACTCTACATTCTGTTTCCCATATTTATTTATCCTTCTGAAGATTCTTTTAACTCCTCTTCTCTCCCCTCTTTGATTTCTTAGTCTTTCCCTAATCTTCTGTTTTCCTTCCCCTTGCTTGTCTTTTTTTTTTTTTTTTTTTTTTTTTCCATGCTTTCGTACCAGCCACCCTGGAACTCATATTTTTATTCCTTTTAGCCATTTCCTTCATTAATTTCCTAACATTTCCCCTGTACTTCCCTTTTGTCTTTTACAGATTTCAGAGAAAACAATTCTTCTGAAGGAACTGTTTTCTGTCTCCTTTTCCCCCCAAGTAGTGCCCTTTTTTCTTGTGAAGATTCATTCATCCTAAGCTTCATCATGGTTTTTTGCCCTCTGTCTGTTGCCATACTTTGACATCTACGGTCTTTATTCTGCTCTGTCTCTGAAGCACTGTATCCACTCCTTCCTCCTCTCCATCCCGACTCTCCAGCTGTCATTGCAGATCTCATTACTTTCTTATTTCTCTTCTCTCTTTTACTATGAACGCTTGAATCTATCCCATTTAGGCCTTCCTCATTTTTACTAAAAATGCTTAACCAGTTTGTATAGGCATTGTTCTTTTCCTCACAAAAGTTACAAATAATTATTTTTCCAAGAAGCATTGCTATGTGTTTGTTCTCCATAAACATTGTGTTACTTTCACGCACGTTAATTTTATTTAAATAGTGTGTTCAAATACACACACACATGCACACACACACATACATACATGCGCGATACACACACGCTCACAGTATGGAAGATTCCCAGACCAGCCCAAATCCCTTTGGCAAAATGGCTTGCCTTATTCTGACTTTGCCAGTTTTATGTTAATTTTATGTTTTACTACTTAAATTTCTAAATCCACTGCCTGCATTTCACATAAAATGTTTAAAATGGAAAAATTATAAATAAGAGCACTGAATTTTCCTCATTTCCTGCTTTGCTAAAGAGTAGAAATTATTCGTATTCCTAACTTGCTAAATAGAATGGCACAGTTTTCTTTATGTTTTAGTTCTTTTTCTCTTCATGTTGCTTCTATTTCTTTGGAGCCATTTATTTTGTGGAGTTTGAATTAAAGATAACATTCAATTAGGTCATTTTAAGTGAATGAATTACCACGGTCCTTCCCGCAGAGGATGTTGTTGAAAATCAATTTTCTTTTTACAAATACTTCTTTAAGTTTAAACATCTTGATTCATTTCTAAAATAACAACATAGGAAAGCTGTAAGCCTCTCTACCAATCATCTAGTAGAATTTCTTCCTACATTCATTTCACATAGGAAGAAAAGATCTTCCTTTCAAAATAATTTCAGAAAATCCTATTGCCTTAATCCTAAAACTAGACAAACTAATTTTGTTTCCTTCTCTATTTCATTTTCATAGTTGTTTTTTTATTTGTTTGTTTTTTCCTCCTTTATAATATATTGACTCAATTTTTGTCTTTTGAATAAATTCATCCAAATGTTGACTGAGAGGTCAGAATGACTGAGAGGGAATAGTGTTAGTTTTTGTGTCCCAATTCCATACTTTTTTTTTCCTCTGCTATTGTTTGGCAGTTCCTCCCACTTTGCATCCTTAGCACACTTCCACAGCTCCTGGTCCACTGTCTTCCATTGATACATAGTCTCTCACCTTATTGCAACTTCTCAACCCATGGCATCCTCATAGGATCCTTCTCACAATTCTCTGGCCATTAAGGGAAAGGAATGAAGAAACATCGATAGGACATTCTGCACAAGTGTATCAATAGATGCTTCACATTTATTTCCCAATCACTGTAGTTTACATCAATATAGAGTAGACTCAACATATCAAGAAAATTTCTCACTGTACACACATAATTTCTGTAAGATTAGTAAAGAATTTGCTATGGCTCCTTAGTTCACAAGTGAAAATCTGAAAAACAGAAATCAAGCAACGAGACTGAGTTAATCAAGAAAATAAATGAGACTGTATCACTAAATCCTAGTTCTCTGAGTATACATCCGACTGTTCTCACATAATTAATAATAGTAGGGCTAGAATTCAAACCACAGAAATAGTTACTTTAACCAAAGAAACCGTATTACATTAGAGATGTTTTAAAATTTCTGTGAACGACAAAGTATTTTCCTTTTGATATTTTTATAGTGCAATCATGTAAAAGTATGGTATTCCAATAGTTTTAGTTCTTTAGCCACACTAAATATTCTCACAATACTACTCTCTACCTGAGGAGATGATGGAATATCATGAAATTATACATAAAGTTTTCAATTTGTAATGTGTGTGCTTTGAGGGAAAATGAAGAGAAGAGCACGACAGCATGAATCTACATAATTTCAAAAAAGATTGGAAAGATAATCACGAAGCTAGAATTCACTTCAAAACAAGATTTGAACTTTATGTAGTTTTCTTTCACAGTTATAAAAGTTAAAATATATAGTTTTAGAAACTATTTTATTTTTAAAGAAATATTTAAGAGAAAGATATAAAAATTGTGCATAATTCGATGACCACAGTGTATGTAATAATATTAAATTCTAACTGCAAGACATGCAACATGATGAGCGTGTTGTATGTCTTACTTTCTTTAATGCATATGATGACTGAAGTATGTTTATATACCCATTTTATAGATGAAGAAACTGAAAATAATAAATAGAATCAAATTAGGTCATCTCACACAGTAAATAAAATATAGAGCTGGAATTAAAACCCAAGATACCCAGTTTCTTTAACAAACAAACCATATTTTAAACATATGCAATTGACAAAAATATATTATATTGTAAATAGTTTATAGTGCAACCACATAAAATGTGTTACTATATTTCCTCATATATCAGAAACATTTCCACAATAAAGACAAAAGATGTTTGTATGTTTTCATTTAGTTATTTTCTGTTGTTTTATTCTTCTTACTGTTGATTGTTATCTTTTCTAGGGATAACACATGGATGGCTTTTAAAGTGTGGCCTACCAACAAGGCATTTCTGATGCAAGAATTATGCTCTTAAAAGAAAATATCACCTAGCACCCCATAAATATGTGCAATTTTTATTGTGTTATAAATCAGTTAAAATTAAATTTAATTAATAAAAGATAAATACTATTTTTGTTTGAATTTTGACTCCTAAAATTAATATGAGTAGGGGGCTGGGGATTTGGCTCTGTGGTTCCACCACTAGTAAAGAGCCCGAGTTCGATCCCTGGTACCCTGCCAAAGAAAAAGAGAAAAAAATAACCTAAAATTAATATGATTTCTATTTGTTGGTTTGAACCAGTTTGTATTACTTTAGCACACATTTGGGACAGTTACTTTTCCAGAACAGGGGTATAGTGGGCCTTTTGTGGTA